GCAACGCCCCCCTGTCACACACCAGCCCTGCAGAGAAGGAGAAACAGAGTAGTGAGGGGTAAAAAGAGCAAACAACAGGAAAAAACACAACAACCAAAAAAAAACATGCTGAAACCTAACACGACACCGACATAATGTCACTAAATAAAGTATGCAGAGGTCTATGAAAACATTCGCCAATTTTGAGCTTTTCTGTTGAAAACTGCTGACCAAGTAAAAAATGACAGACAAATACTGTTGACATTGTTGAAATACAAATATGTGTTGCTTTAAGGCTTACTGGCGACTCAAAGGGGGAAAAGCTGTTAGGTAAGCTAGTCAACACTCTCCTGTAGTGTGTTCTATAGGTGTGTGTGCGTGTACATGGTCTGCAAAGGCTACAAATCCTAATGTTCCCTCCAGAGGGAATTTCTGTCCCACACATTCCACCTCCTGAAACGCCTAGTGACATCACTACGTAATACCTGCGCTTCTATTGGCTATCGCTCCAACTCATTGTACGTGATAGGCTAAGGGACGGGACATCTCTAAGCAGTTGACCAAACACAACAGAGCCAGTCAGCTAACCAATCAGAGCAGACTGGGCTCTGGTTTCGGACAGAGGGTGAAAAGAGGTGCTGCAGCACAGACAGTATGAGACAAATAAAGAGCTTTTTGAACATTAAAGCATGGAAACATGTCAAAGTAGAGACAATAAATACAAATATTAAACAGAAAATCGTATTTCTTTGTATAGCATTACCTGCCCCATGTTAATTATTTAAGTTTCCGAAAATACAATTTTGTTTTACACTATATATTATAACAACAAATATATATATATTATAAATTCTCTAATGGGATCAGTATTGCTCTGAACCCTTTAGTCTTCTAGTGTCCTTTTTATAAAAATGGGCACCATTAGACAACACAGCTGTGTAGCATAGTGTCCCGAGGAACCCCCCCCCCCCATTATTGTCATGTTTCATCAGTGAACATAGTTGATACAGCAGCAATCAGAGATCACCACAAGCGATGAGAGAGCATGCCATAGCAGCTTTTTTCTGTCAACAACTCACTGACTGCCGTCAGTGTAAGTTGCACTAAAACATAAAGGCATTTCAAACAGTGAATCTGCACACACATTTATGCAAATACATATACATGCACAAAGACTAACATGCACATTTGCACTTTTGCATTATAGTGCTTGTTGTACATGCACACCTCACATTCATACAACACCAGTCCATAAACACACACAATGCTTTCGCAGATAAAGCACACACTCCCACCAAGGAGCAACATTTTTCTCTCCGAGTCTGTCTGCTCCCTCCTCTCTGTGTCTCTTTCTGTCTTGAAGCAGGTGCTGAAATGAGACACTAAATAACTATTAGGAGTTAGAGGAAGGGCGAGAGAGGGGGAGGAGAATGAGAGAAAATGAGAGAGCACTTCCCCAACAGTAGCAGAGGGAGGGAGTGAGAGGGAAGGGAGAGCAGAGGAGCTTAGAGAAGAGATCTGCATTGTAAGTAGCTGTGAGAGCAGCAGCAAGTGGTGGCTGTTCTCAGCCTGTTTTTGTTTTCCCAGAGGGAGGCGGCACGGTGAACAAGAACAAGGAGAAGAACCGGGCAGAAGATTTTGAAGAGTCTCAGCTGAGTTAGAAAACAAAGACACTGAAGGAGAGGAGGAGAGGGAGAAGGTGGCGAGGGAAACCGGGAGGAACACAAGGCAGCAATGGATAGCAGAGTGGCTCAGCCTGACCCTGGGATAGCTTGGATTCACACACAGCTGCTGGCTGCCGGCCAGCACACACACTAGGCTGCTAACACCGATGAGGTACAGTACTCATAAATCTGAGGATTTCTGCTGCTGAGTGAAAGTTGAGCTGTGTGCCTGAGAGTGCTTCGTGTGGTGCACTTGGGTCAAAGTAGTGTTCTGCAGGTTGTCAGGTGCACTGCATTTATCTGACAGCATCTGAAAACAAAGCTAGGTTTCAGAGAGCATGAAACATTTATCAGGACTGCTGTTTGCCTGCAAATTGTTTTATCTGACTAACAAATCAAGCTTTTTAAACACATCACTTCAACACATGCATGTGCAATGCATTGGACTACAGGATTAAATCTGACTGTTTTACCATTGTTCTCTCTTTCATGAAACACAAAACCAAACATAAGTGTATGCACATGTCCTGCCAGTGGGATGATTTTCCTCACTATTCATATATTCAGTTGGAAGTCTTCGCTGCTTGCATCGATGAATGTTTCCTGCAGCTCCCTAGGCGAGTGCACACTGAGGTGAGCCCGGATTGTGATGGTTACAGTGCAGCAGTGAGCTGTTGCAGAGCGGGGCAGGTAAGTGCATGTCTGCAGTATGTCGGATGAGGGGTTGTTAAAAAACTGTACACGGCTGTTCTCCTTTTCAAGGGACGCTTTAGCCTAAGAACACCTGACAGAGCCTCAGGTAGTTAAAAGAGGAGTGTATGTAGATCGGTTTCCTGGAGGCAATAGCCAGTGGTTTTCTTTTTCTTTTATGGTTAACTCATGTGGAGCATACAACTGAGCGTTTACACAACTTCACGAGGGTTAAGCAACAGCGCATTTATGACTTACAGCAGGCGGGTACTTCTTCTCAGCATGCCAGTTGTGACACATTTCTGTAACCCATTACCAGCTAGACCTAAAATGGTTATTTGATTAACTGAGAAGAAAATATTTTGATAATCAGCTCATCTTTTCATACATTTTTCAAGCAGAAAAAGGGAAACAATTCTAATATTCTATTATCTTGGCACCTACAGTCTTACATATCATTGTAAACAAAATATGTTTGCGTAATTGGACTCTTGGTCGATGTAAAGCACAACACCTGGGGACACACTGTTTGGTTCTGTGAAGTTGATTTGTGACTATATTCCGTTGACGCTTTATTAACAAAACAAATGACGATTAATAAATAGTCAACAGTTAATAAATAATAAAAGTAATGTGTGGTTACAGCCCTTCCAGCTTCCAGACTTTTTTCTGGACATCTTCCAAACTCCATCAGGGCTGAGGTGACGGCTGCCCTTTCTGTCTGCCGTCCCGATGACTCAGTGTATTGTCATGCCAGTTGACTGCTGCTGTTTGTACTGAGAGTCTATAGGTAAATATTTTGGCTGCAAATAGACAGCTGTGGGTGTTTTCTTGGATTATCTGATTTACTACGGTATGTCTGGACTGGAACGCACCACCTGCACGTTGGGCGGACGTGTAGCAGCATAAATCAGGACCTTGAACTGTTTTACTACACTTTATTATAGGCTGGAGATCCCGTGCGATGGCTGACTTCTGATAACAGTTTTTCTGAAAAATCATAACACTGAGGGAAAAAAGAAGATTTATGATTGTGATTTAGCTGAGTTAATGTCCTGCGAGCATATTCCTGTACATTTAATTTCTCTGCATGTTACATTACATTACATTACATGTTACTTGTTAGACGCTTTTATCCAAAGCGTCTAAAATACTCAATACTGTGGGCAATCCCCACAGGAGCAATTTGGGGTGAAGTGTCTTCCCCAGGGACACAACGACATGCTGACTGCAGTGGGGTTTGAACCTGTGCTCCCCTGATCTGAACACCAACGCACTATTCCATTGCACCACACGCCTCCCTGCTTGTCTGCTCATATCACACACAGGTTTATAACTCACCACATTGCCCATCCCTCATCCTACTTCCTCCCTCCCCCCATATGTCTGGAGAGCACCTGCCCCATCACCTGCCTCCCAGACAGCCACTGTCTGCGTATGCATATGGTGTGGGGAAGCGTCCCAGGATGCCACACCTTACCCTTTTCTCAAAGCCCCCAGGAAGTGAGCCGAAACTTTAGTTGGCCAAACTGTGATATTACAACTTCCATGCCAGTCATTGAATTAGTTTTTACCATTGACTTAGCTAGCTACCCAGTACTAACTCTTGAATAGCCATAATATAAACCATTGTGTCCTAAAACTCATAAAAAGTGCTTCAAGCCGAATCCAGTGGAGGCGGGGCTTAAAGAGGATACATTATGCTCTATAATGTATTGTAATGTCAGTCTGCTCTGATTGGTTAGCTGGCCGGCTCTGTTGTGATTGGTCAACCACTAGAGATGTCCCGTCCCTTAGCCACACATGCAAAGCGCTAACCAATAGAAGCACGAGTGCTACATAGTGATGTTACTATGTCACAGAAGTAAACAAAGGAGTCTAATGTGGGCATTTCAGGAGTGTTGGAGAGAAACTCCATCTGGAGAGAACTGTTGGATTTCAGCCTCTGCAGACCATTTACATGCAAAAATACCTATATTACACACCCAAAAAGGGAACACCCCAAAAAGCATAATAGGCCACGCAGATGCGCATGCTCTCTGAGTCCAGATCCCAGATCACACTGACATTCTTGTCCTCAAGTCAGGCCATTTTTGGCTTCCTGTGTCACTGAGCAATGCTCATAGGAATGAACCTATGGGGAGGCCCCACCTCCAATGCTGTATCCATTTCTCTTTGTACATCCAGGCTCTTTTCCCACAACCTATAATGCAAATGGCACCTTTGCGTCTTAGTGTTTGCACTTAACTTTTTTCTTTCCATCACTTAGGCATCATTGAATAAAAAGAAACCTGCACTTTAAGCATCAGTGATACCAATTGTTCGAGGAGGGCCTGTCACTTTCCAAAACTTGTGTGCAAAACTTGCGTGCAAAATTGCAGCGTCCTTAATAGCCCATAATAGCAGCCCTTGCTACTTCACGTGCATAGTGGAGCTGCTTTGTTTGTCGCCTGCCTCGATTTAGTGGTCAATTTCAGAGGAATGAGCGTGCGAGTCATCCGGGGAATGTGGAATTGTATCTCTAAAGTTGGACGTGAACTTGTCTTGGCTATAAAAGAGACCACCTACTGAGTAAAACCCTGTGCATTCACCTAATAATAATACCCTAATGTGGCTGCTTTGATTTGTTTAAGATAAGTTGATTTTCTAAGATAAACAAAGAGCTCTACCCCACTTTTAAGGCAGCAGTGCACAGGCTCTGTCACTTATTGGTTAATCTGCGTGTCAGAGAATACTTGGCCCATGCATGAAGGTTGAAACAGCCGAAACTGGAGCCCAGAGGCGATCTGTGCTGAGCACGGCCCCGGCTGAGTATCTGCACACCTGTCTATCACTGCAGCCGCAGGTTATTGTGACTTGGCCAATAAGATGCTGTGTGTGTTTCACATTAGTACTCATGCAAGATTATAATTCTCTGGATCAGAAGGCGCTTCTTTGCTTTAAAAAATGTGGGTTTTCTTTGCCTCTTGCTGTTCTGGAAACAAAAGCAACTTTGTTTTCAGTCGTTTAGCTTTCTTTTAATTCATGAAGTTAATCTTGATAACGCTGCTGCTGTTCAGAGTTTGTTTTGAAGAGTTGTTTAGCTTTAGCTCTGAGCTGAAGTGGAATCATTTCTGGATGGTCAGTTGTTCAGCTGTGTTCCACTTTTAGAAGATCACGTTTCAAAACAACGAGCAGCCCAGTCAGTGGACGGCTTGTCTGTACCTGTCCACATAATAAAAGCAAGAAGTAGGGTGCAGGAGAAGGAGGGTGAGGGGTGAGGAGAAACTGCTGGTGCACAGCTGGGGGAAAAGTGGAGCAGAGGGCTATAAACACAGAGAGGAAGGGAGCGCGAGTAAACATAGGAGCAGCTGAATGTATCAGCAATTTGTTGTAAAGATTCACTTTGGATAAAGGCTGAATAGTTCCCTTAAACTGCTGTTGTTTTTTATGTATATTGGCATTTTTCTAGTACTACTTTTGGTTGCGGAGTAATACACATGATGTGCTCTTTGGAGTATGTACAGCAGCAGGATGTTGTTTGGAGGATTGACTGAAAATAATGTACAGTGTGTTTTCATGGTAATGAAGGAAAATGTCTCCACTGCAACAGTGTGTGCATTGATGTGAAGCGTTTTTGGACAACAATGGAGCTCTATGCCATAGACGATTGGGTTTTTGGTAATTTCATGGGAAGGGTTTAGCACAAAAGAAATATAGAAAATCACCATTCTCACCCTATAAATCTTGATGTTGTTTTTCAACCTAAATTGCCAAAAAAAGTTGCCATTTGCTCAGGAATTGCTTCTTAAAAAAGACATCACCCTGGGCTCTGTAATATTGGGATGTTCATTAAAAAAGAAAAATTCAGCGACTAAATTACAGCAAACATAACCCTTACTTGCGGGACTTAAAGTGTAAGTATGCCGTCCTTTGATACACTTCATACTAGCTGTTCACATAAAATAGTAAAAAAAGATTACAGCTGTATGAAATATAAAATGGTAGTTGAGTTATTTGTAACACTTCATTTTTGATGATGGATTGACTTTCATATGTCCTGGTAACCTGAAAAAACATCCTATATCAGCACTCCTTTTCTTAGAGTCTCACACAGATAAATATCACCTCTCACAGGGTACTGATTATGAGATTTTCTGGATTTACAGCGCGTTGGATCCTTGGCCCTCCAACCACTCGGTAGCTTTTGCGACTTATGACAAAGCACCATAATTACACAAGGTTATTTCCATAAGTTTGTCAATAGTTCCTTTGTGCCTTTACTATCCTGGCTGTGAGTCCTATCTGCAGTTGTTATGGTGGCAGAGGGAAACGGGGGAGGGGAGGTTAAAGGTCCAAAAGTCTTGACGTTTACGTGTGACATGGTCGCCATTTTCTCAGGCTTTTAAACGAGAGTTTGCTGTTTGTCCGTTTTAAGTAAGAGGGAATCCCAGCGGGTGAGGAGGTCAGGGAAGGCCTCTCCACGTCTTGTCGCTTTCAATCAAAAACAGATTGCAGACACACAGTCATCTGGGCCTTGTGAGTGTCAAAGTTGTGTGTGATTGCAGGGCAGGTTGTCAGTGTTCGTCTTCGTTGTGTCTCCGAAGGTCGCGGATTAGGTTGCCCTGAGGCTGCAGAGGAGGATTAGGAGGGCCTGCACCGCGTGTAAACATTTGGGTAACCTCCACCCGCCTCCCGAATAGCCTCTGGGGTGCTCACCTGTCTCAGTGGCTGGAGGAGAGAAGAGGAACGGATACCAACAAACTCCCTGACCTTAATTTACTCAACCGTTCTTACACCATTCAGCCTTCTGATTTCCCCAAAATGCAGCTTAATGCTTCACTTTGACATCTGGAGCGCTTTCGCTGATTGGAATCCGAGTCTCGCTGCTGAGCTTATTTTGATTGAGAGATTTATATGAAGCCCATTCAAATACCAAGAAGACACCTTTTGGCTTCCCATCCAGTTGTTTCAGGTGTTCATTTGAAATGCTGCATAAAGAAAATGGGTTATCAAGTTTT